AACAACAACAAAAATAAGGGGAAAAATAAAATATCAATCAGCTCCACATCCTTTCAGCAGAGAGCGAAAACATAGCGCGCATAGCCACATGCGCAAATCCTAATTAATTACTCTACAATGCCAGTTCTGCCGATACTAAGCTTAGTAAGCCCTCATACGTAAGCACTTCTAATTTCTTATAGTACACTACCGTACCACATTTCAGCATAGCTAACAGTTTTGGTTGTCAGATAAAATAAAATGGACTGTTATATGTGTTTCTAGACAATAATTTTAATCAATCTTGTTACCTTTTCTACGAAAAAAAAAAAAAAAGTGCAGCATACCATGTAATTTTTCTGTACATCAGTCATGTCACCCATCGCTATTGTCTTAAGTAGTTAACTCTGCACTTTAAAAAAAAAAAAAAAAAAAAGAAAGGTGGTAGGGAGGAGTCGGGCAACTGTAGGCCAGTAAGCCTTACTTCAGTAGTGGGGAAAGTAATGGAAACCATGTTAAAGGATAGGATTGTTGAACATCTAAAAAACATGGATTTCAGGGAGATCAAAATAAAAATCAAAAAAAAAAAATCAATAAGATCAGTTTGGCATGATTGGGTAACTAAATAGATCAGGGTGGTGCAGTAGACATTGCTTACCTAGATTTCAGTAAGACTTTTGACGCTGTTCCCCATAGAAGGCTTATCAACTGCAATCTTTAAGTTTGTATTCCAATATTGTTGAATGGGTTAGGCAGTGGGTTTTAGTCAATGGAGTATTTTCAAAGCATGGGCTTGTCACCAGTGGGGTACCTCAGGGATCTGTACTTGGACCCATTCTCTTTAATATCTTTATTATTGATATTGCAGAAGGTCCTGATGGTTAGGTATGTTTTTTTTGCGGATTATATGTAACAGGGTTGACGTTCCAGGAGGGATAAGCCAAATGATTTAGGTAAACTAGAAAAATGGTCAGAGTTGGGGCAACTGACATTTAATGTGGATAAGTGCAAGATAATGCATCTTGGACGTAAAAACCCAAGGGCAGAGTACAGAATATTTGATAGAGTCCTAACCTCAACATCTGAGGAAAGGGATTTAGGGGTGATTATTTCTGATGACTTAAAGGTAGGCAGACAATGTAATAGAGAAAGAAAGAAATGTAGAAAGAAATGCTCATGCCATTGTAGAGAACACTGGTGAGACCTCACTTGGAATATTGTACGCAGTACTGGAGACCGTATCTCCAGAAGGATATTGATTCCTTAGAGAGAGAGTTCAGAGAAGGGTTACTAAACTGGTTCATGGATTGCAGGATAAAACTTACCGGGTAAGGTTAAAAGGAACTTAACATGTATAGCTTGGAGGAAACACGAGATTGGGGGGGAGGGGGGGAAGATATGATAGAAACATTTAAATACATAAAGGAATCACATTAAAGAAGGAGACTATTTAAAAGAAGAAAAAACAGCACAACAAGAGCACAGTCTTAAATTAGAGGGGCAAAGGTTTAAAAATATCAGGATGTATAACTTTACTGAGAGGGTAGTGGATGCATGGAATAGCCTTCCAGCTGAAGTGGGAGGCTATTCCATGTGTGGGATAGGCAAAAGGCTATCCTAACTATAAGAGAAAGCCAGGGACTAATGACTTTTGAAAATTGGGCAGACTAGATGGGGCGAATGGTTCTAATCTGCTGTCACATTCTAGGTTTTTATGTTTCTAATACATCATTAGATATGCAGATCTATTGATCACTAATTTCCATTACATTTAATAGATTTGTTGTAAATCAAATTGAGACATTTCTATACAGTAGTATAGAATTGGATTTTGCCAAGGCATTTGATATGGTTCCTCACAATAGGTTGGTCTTCAAACTAAAAGAAATTGGTCCAGATGAATATTCTTGTGTAGAACATTGGCTTAAGGATAGAGTACAAGTTGTCATTAATGGTAAATTTTCAGGCTGGACAAAAGTGGTAAGTGGTGTCCCTCAGGGTCCTGTTTCAGACCACTTCTATTTAACATATTTATAAATGATCTTGAAGTAGGCATTCAAAGCCATGTATCGGTGTTTGCAGATGACAAAACTTTGTAAAGTAATAAAATGTGAGCAGGATATTGCTTTGCTGCAGCGGGATTTGGATAGATTAGGGACTGGGCACTAAAATGGCAAATTAAATTTAACAGAGAAATGCAAAGTTATGCACTTTGGGGTTAAGAATGCACAAGCAATTTACACCCTAAATGGTAGTGAATTAGGGATAACCACACACGAGAAGGATGTGGGAATTGTTATAGACAAATTAGGCAGCAATATGCAATGTCAATCTGCAGTTGCTAAGGCCAGTAAGATTTTGTCATGTATAAATGAGCTATATCATGTAGGGGCACCCAAGATGGGCAGGTCATAGCAGAGAAGTCAGACAAATCACAGTCCACTGGAGAAGGAACTAGCAACTCACTCCAATATCTTTGCTAAGATCACTATATGGACAAGCACAACCAGAGACATAATGATATGACACTGGAAGAAGAGCCCCTTAGGTCAGAAGGTGCCTACCACATTACTGAGGAAGAGCAGAGGGTGAGTACGAGTAGCACCAGATCAAATGAAGTGGTTGGGCCAAAGCCGAGTGGACACCCAACTGTGGATGTGTTTGGAGGGGAAAGTCTGCTGCTGCAAAGATAAATTCTTGGGATGAAAATATAATTTTGCCTCATAAAATCGCTGGTAAGACCACACTTTGAATATGCTGTGCAATTTTGGGTGCCTGTTCTAAAGATATTATGGCACTAGAAAAAGTCCAGAGACTAGCTACAAAATTGATAAAGGAATGGAACATTTTAGTTACGAAGAAAGGTTAAAAATGTAAAGCTCTTTAGTTTGGAAAAACAGCACCTGAGAGGGGATATACTAACATTATACAAATATATTCAGGGCCAGTACAAACCTTTATCTGGAAACCTATTCATAAACAGGACTATACATAGGACATGAGGTCACACATTTAGGCTGGAAGAAAGGAGATTTAATCTAAGGCAAAGAAACTTTTTACAGTAAGAGCAATACGGATATGGAATTCTCTGCCTGAAGAGGTGGTTTTGTCAGAGTCATTACAGATGTTTAAACTGCAATTGGATAAATACTTATAACGTACAGAGATAATTTCTAATTAATGGGGTAATAGCTGCTTGATCCAAGGAGACATCTGACTGCTATTTTGGGGTCAAGAAGGAATTTTTTTTCCTAGTTTGTGGCAAAATTGGAAGCGCTTCAGACTAGGTTTTTTGCCTTCTTTTGGATCAACAGCAAAAACACGTGAGGAAGGCTGAACATGGACGCAAGTCTCTTCTCAGCTATGTAACTAGTACACAGGTTGACTGGCAAGGAGGCACTGCCAGCTTTGTACATATGGCCTGTAACCTCCCACCATACTTCTGATTAATCGCATGAGTGTTAGGATGTCTTTAGCAGCTGGCAATAATTGTGCAGAGCCATAGTTCGCAAAGCACTGTAGTTTTGGTGGTTAAGTTGGCAGTTCAGGATGTCTATACTCTGCAAACCTGGACTGGCCCATTAGAACACACTTCCTAGGAACAGACAGTCACTGCCTGGATAAGTTGTCCCCAAATACTGCACACAGCTATCTGAAAAGTCTGCATCCCTCAGACTGACACATACAGTTAGTGTTCAAATAAGAGTTAATATATAGCACCTGCCCAATTCACATCACATGATTAAGATGCCACCTGCTCGGCCATTTGTTCTGAGTGCCCCAAACCCTCACCCCACCAGGCCAGATATTCCATGAAAGTACATCAGTGACATTTTAGTAAATCTGGAGTTTCCTTAGGGTTCTGGTGCACTGCAAGGACTTTCATGTTTGATGACATTTGTAATATTTGTTAGTTTTATTGGGTTGCACACAACCTTCATCATTGGCTGATTAACATCCAGGCATGAACAGATCTAAGTCAGAAGCTGCAAACACATGTCCTGCAGACAAGGGTGGAAAGATGCACATGAGCAGCCATTAAGCAGTATTATAGAAAGTAGTTAAAGGGTCTATATAGTGAGCTTCATAAAAGCCATATTCATGTATGCCAAGATAAAGGAAGCAACATGCTAGATAGTGAGCATAAGAAGCCAGTTGTAGCTCAACTACAAATTACTAGACAGGAGTAATGGCTGTTTTACAAGGGTTTTTGGAATATGCACATCATTAGAAGAATGTCAGCATAAGGACTTTCTGAAAGATTTAGCTACATCTTGGTCTGTCAAGCTCTCATGCCAGACGTTGCAAATCCTAGACAATTTGAATACACAGTAATTCTCAAAAGGGTGTTAAAGTTTTGCATGTAAATGCATTATCTATACTACATTACAATGTGGTCCCCATACAATAGGTGACCTGCAACTTGTGACTAGGATCTTCACTTTTTTTTTTTGAGAACAGAGTTACATGAGAAGTGGAGAAAAAAAAAACAAAAAAAAAAACACAAAGACAAATCACAATGAACAAGGTCAGGTGTAAAAAGATAGGCATTTATTGCCCTGTGATATTTACAGTTCCCTATGCCTGGAACATCCAGTATCCTAAGAGCCTAGTAACCTGTTGAATGACCAAGTTGCCAAACTGGGAGCTGCATCATTCATCAAGGATAATGTACAGCACAATTTAGAGTCCAGAATTCTCAATATGCATAAAAAAAAAATATAAAATAAAATAAAAAACCATTCCTGGACAAAATTATGTTCATATCCATCTTTAGCTAAAAGATTACAACTATGATCTTCAGTTTAAAATAAAGTGTTGAATTATGCAGCTACTTAAACTGTAGAAATTAGCAAAAATTTAAGATTATGATCAGACAGCATATATTTCCTATTAGGAATCTAATCTATTTACAAAACGTGCACCAATACACCATTTTGGACTCTGACTACTTATTAAGAGCAACATTCTAACTTGAATGAGCAAAGTATTTCTTAAAAAGTTAAAAATTTAAGACCAAATTAAAAAGGTTGATAAAAGCCTAAAAGTGGTACAATATGACCATTTTCCAACATTTGGGATTTAAAACTGGCATATGCAAATTCGAGGATGAATCCTTTTGTAGCCTCCATGTACAACTGATGGCCAGAATGTAGATACAGCCAGATCAGACGACTCAAGTAGGCAACATATGTATCTCCATGTAGTTCAGCTGAAAAGACAAAAAAAATTAAAAACCAAAAACATAAAAACAGCCATACAAGCAAAAGCAAGTTTATAGCCTGCCACACAAGTAGGTATTTATAGAGTTTAGGGGTCATCTTCAACCACCTCATTCCCAGAATGCTCGACTATAAATCTGTATGTAGGGTTCATTTACAATGCAGTATGATCTGAAGATTTAGCTTTTAATTGTGTTATTTCCACTGGAAGCTTTGGCTGCAGTTTAAGCAGCTACCACCCTAGAAGTCCATTATCTAGGTAGAATCTATATTTGGTGTCAGTAGTGCAGACTAATCGATTTAGTTTGGTCAACAGCAGGGAAAAGCACAATTTTGGTTCTGGTAGCCATTACTTTTAGAATGCAGACATTCACTTCCCAGGATTAGTGCCTAGTAATTTGTCAAGTTGAATGTATAAACCCATACCTCTGTCCTGCAACAGGGCCCCTCCATCTTGGCTGAAATTCTTTATTCCAGAACAATTCAAATCACAAGGATCAAAGGAACAGGTAGGGGTATAGAAAGGATTAAAGAATCACTGTTTTACCTGCCAACTATGTATGCAAACTGTACAGAACCCAACATTCCAACAGTCTACCTTTATGGGTAGCATTTTCTCTGCACTAGAGATTTTTAAATAGTTCTACATTTACTCTCTAGGTTTGTGATCAAGATACACATTTTAGATTTGATAGCTTTTCTCATGTGTATGATGATGCATTTTGACCAACAAGGTTTTTTGCTTATTTGCAGTGTTTGCCCTGGGTTCAACTGGATTGTGGTGTAATTTGCCAAGTCTCTAACATGGAGACATTTTTGTCAAAGTTAGTACAGGTTATAGGTAATTTTTAATGCCATGTTTTATAGTTTAACTTCGTAAAGTGATAGATCCCCTAAAAATTAGTTTGCGTTTGTGCTTTAAGCTGTTCGTTAGGTCTAGATCAACCGTCAATACATAGCGTGGGTATCACTACATTGGATTACCTACATTCTTGAAGTTATTTCAATCTGACACCCTCTGCACATTACATTTTGCAGCTGTATGTCTGAATGTCCATGGCGGCTATATAGTCATAATCAGGTTTTTGCACAATTCCCAGCATTTGCAGGGCTTATCCACAAATTAGTTTTTAATAAGGCATAGTTTTTGGCCTGGGTAAACCAAAAGTGAGTAAAAGCTAAAAAACCACAATGGATTTACACTGCCAAAGCCAAGTTCTCCCAGCAGCCCAATCCTCTTATTTAATTCCCTTCATTGGAGGGGAAGATGGGCATATATAGCTTTGAGGAGGCCTTGCTGCACTTGGTAATCTCAGACATACAGCATGCATGGAGTTTACATTAGCCAGCTTGGTAAGGACATTGCTGTATGTGGAGTTACACCTAGAGCAGCAGTGTGTTGTCTATATGCAGTGGTTTACTATGAAAGGCTGTACATACAGAACCCAAGCTCCATGGCCATTTAAAGCCTTTGGTGCTTGAAGTAACTTCTGTCTATATGGTGCTCAGATGTACAGTTTTCTAAAGTTTAAGCAGCAACAGATGCATGGAGGTGCCAAGTTACCTTCATGGATAGTGGTCTCATATTCCAGCAGCTGGTAGATACAATCTGGAAGAAGTTGCCTCACCCACATGTTGCCTTCTTGTAAGAGCCAGTCATTAATCAGCCTTTTCCTAAACAGAAATCCCTTCATTTGGTACAGATGCAGAGGATCACCAGATGTCAAATACATCCTGGAAAAATATTCAGAGGTTTAGACTGTCTCACAAGCTTGTTAACTGTAGCAGAAGTTTTATCACAGCCACTGAATACACATATCAAGGGTGTCTGATGGTCAAAGTTCTAAGATTACAGCGTCCCTGGAAGCAGGTTTTGCTTACTGTCAAGTTCTCATTATTATTGCGATTTATATAGCGCCAACATTCTGTAGCGCTTTACAATATTAGAGGGGGATTTGACCCCCTTAGAGGATTAACTCCTAAGCCATTTCATAGTACTGCAGCAAGTTCAACAGAAAGAGTAATGTCATTGACCCAATAAACCTATCTGAAGCATGGTAATTTTAGTAATAAGCTTTATCAGAGAAAAACGAGATCAGACATTATGAATTAGCACTACACAGGACTATCTTGCACAACCCAGCAGTTGTCTATTTGCTAGAAAGTGAATGTCTAAAGAAATTCACACAGTACAATTACTTTCTATAGCTCACAAGTCTGACTATATTTACAAAGTGCAAACATGAGCAGTGTGTAATGCAACTGGCTTATTGAGATATTGTTTCCCCAGTGGCACCCAAGTTCTACTCTGCTAGCTGTGGAAGACGTTTCCTAGGTTTTTTTTATAAATATGAACTTTTAAATGTATTCCTTGGTTTTACTATCTATAGACCCCTACCTGTAGCATGGTAGTGCACCTATTATCTTCCAGTTGACGTAGTTGCCTGCAGTCTCCTCTAGTCTGCATACTCTCGAGGACAAGATTTTAGCCAGTGTCCAGAATCGTTCATGAGTTACTAGAGTAACATGCAGCTCTAACTTTAGAAGCTTGTAGACTTCATCTAATGTTTCTGTGTAGACCTGATGGGGAAAAAAAATATATAAAAAAATTAAATACACAAAGTATGTTAAAAAAAATATAAATAAAAATAGATGCAATAGAAGCAGGTTTTTGCTATTTAAGACCCATACCATACAAGTGCCATATTGGCAAGCTTAGGGTAAAGTATGCGCACAGTTACCAATATGGAATATATTGAATTGCATAGATATGAAAACCAAGTATAGTCTAGCATAGTCAAGATAAGGAAAAGCAAGGTAGTCTAAACAAGTCAGTGAACAGAGGGCCTTATAGGCCCTCACTATCCAGAAGTTTAAGATAATGTGTTTTCCTTCCTTGGATGCTGAGAGCAGAGTCTCATGAATTAGATACCCTCTACAGGACAGCATGAGAAAACAAAAAGGCCAAATGGTGCTGCAGAAAAAAAATTTTTTTTCCCCTTAATATGGTGGCAGTAGACAGATTGGTTGTACTTCCATATGCTAGGACAAGTAGCCTGTAAAATAAAAATTAACCTTGCTCTTCCCACGCTCCCCTTCAATTCCCCATGGTCCACTACTAACCAGTTGATACCAAGAGAAATATGGACTCCACAAATGCAAAATTAAGTTTGCAAAACAGGGAGGGATATTGTACTGCCACCATATTAAGGGAAAAAAAGAATTTACGGTGAGTAAAATATTCTGTTTTTCCTAGCATATGGTGGCAGTACACAGATGAGATTGCAGGATCTGAAGCAAAAATGAAAAAAAAAATAAATAAAAAAAAAAAAGTTACAATGGCTTGGAGCACCTTATGCCACAAAACAGCTTGAGGATGAGAAGAGGTCCATCCTGTAGTGCTTTATAAATGTGTGAAAGACCAGGTGGCAGCTCTGCAAATGTTGTCTGGAGTTTAGCCCATGAAGTGGCCATAGCTCTAGTGGAGTGAGCTTTAACAGAAATAGGAGATTGAAGACCACTTTAGAAATGTGATCACCTGATTTCCATAAGCCACCTAGCAATGGTTGTTAGAGACCACCTTGCCCTTAGATTTTCCTTGGAATCCAAGGAATAGGTGATCCGAAATCCTGAAGGGAGCAGATCTGCGAAGATAAATTTGTAAGGATAGTTTAACATACAATGTGTTCAGAAGTTAAATGCCCTTCGGCAGGAAATAAGGCTTGGTATGTAACATGACCTTATCCTGATGAAAAGCGGTAAAATCTTCTGAAGGAGAGGGCTTTAATTTCTCCAATTTTTAGCAGAAGTGATAATCACAAACTCTCCTCCCCCTCCCCCCTACTAACTTTAAAAGGGACATCTGCGAAAGGCTCAAACGGAGATACAGAGCCTGCAAAACTAGTGACAAATCCCAAGAAGGGACATAAAACTTGCGAGGTCTGAGCAGCAGGATTGCTTTAAAGTAGTGTCTAGTCAATAACTCAGAAGCAAATTCTTTAATGAAATGCTCAAGGCAGATAAATGCACCTTTAAAGTAGAGATGCTGAGACCAGATAAGAAACCATCATTAAGAAAATTGATAATCGTGTACCCTGAAGGTGAATTTTGAAGGCAGTTGACACCAATGAAGGAACCTTTTCCAAATTCTTAAATAAAATTCTCAAAGTTGATTTCCTAGTAGAGCTCAACCAAAAAAACAAAATAAACCTGCTATATTGAATGCCATGACTGAAGTATTAGCCTTGTGGCAGCCATGCTGTCAACCTGAACATACTCAAGGTGTAGAGGGGCAGTTGCCTGTTCAACAAGGGAATGTCAATAGGTAGTTCCCAAAAAGCTACAGCCATCATCCACAACTCCAAAAGTCAGCATTTTTGTGCCAGTAAGGAATAATTGCCAGCACTTGAGCCTCTTCTGATCTGAGTTTCTGGATGATCCTTGGAATCAAGGCTACTGGAAAAAAATAAAAATTATGCCAGATTGAAATTAGTTGCTAGTCATCCCATCTTGAAAGTGGGGATGATCTTGGCTATGAAGTGAGACCAACATCCTGACCTTGCAATTTATCCTCCTGGCCATCAGATCTACACCAGAAGTTCAGAATCTTCTGGTGATCTGAGAATAAGTCTGGATGAAGGGACCATTCTGCTTGTGACCATTTTGACCTGCTCAACTAGTCTGCTACTAAGTCGTCTTTCCCCTTTGTGTGTAGGGGCCAAATCTTTCAGCTCCTTTTGTGTCCAAAGAAAGATTTGAGCAGACACCTTCCTTGTCTGTTTAAATAAGCAACTGTTGTCTGATTGAATTCTTACAGCTTTGCAGGATATCCAAGTTTTGAAATAAGAGTATTAAGACTTTATTTCTCTGAAGTTTGAAGCCCTTCAAATTGAACAGCTTGGTTCTTTTTGGTAAAAAACACACAACCCTTCTCTTTAATTTCCTCTCTTTCTGGAGTAAGGAGAGTCCTTAAGTTTATGATGAATCCCAGATATTGAGCTTCTGTTGCAGGATGAAGGAGACCTTTTTGATTGATCACCCAACCGTGATGTTCTAAGAAATCTATAGTAGTCTGGACATGAATATTCAAGAGCTCTTTTGACTTTGATTTTAGAAGATATGGAATGATAGCAATACCCTTTTCCCTTAAAGCTGCAGTAATGGGAGACAAGATCTTCGTGCAAATTCTTTGAGCTGATGTTAGATTGAAATGCAGTGCTTTGAAACGGAAATTGAGAAGTTTCTCCTCTTATTCTTATGACTAATCTTAAGAATTTTCTTGACGCTTGGGCCATATGTTCATGAAGATAGGCATCTGAGATCCAGGGTAGCCATGAAGTCCCCTTTATGTATGATATGGGTAGCTGAGAATGGATTCCATGTGGAATTTTGGTATGAGATGATTTTGTTCAAATTCTTTAGATCCAGGATCAGCCTCAGGGATTGATCTTGCTTTGGAACTAGAAAGATGAAAACACACATCTTGGAAATCTTGGTTCATTGGGACGCTAACCCCTGAATCTGAATTGGTCTTGATATCCATAATTGTGCATGCAAGACTGGAAGCTCTTGTAACCAGACTTCCGAGAGAACTTTCTATCCTGTGGAAGGGCCTTTTTGTTTCAGACATTTGTCGGATATCTCTTCCAGAGGAGATTCAAACAGCTTTTTCTAGAGGTAATTCACAGGGCAGACTTTGAGGCCGTAACAGCAGACCAAGATCGTAGCCATAAAGCTCCTCTGGCTACAGAAGAAAAGCCCATAATGCGTGACGATTTCAGAATTCCTTCTGACATCCATTAAAGTTCACTGGAGAGCTTCAAGGTATACATGATATGGGCCAAGTCTTTGTCAGCTTCTTCCAAACAAACAATTTTCCAGGGATTGTATCCAAAAGCTGAGCTTTAACAGAAGCCCTGGCTAAGGCATTACATTGAAAGCAAGCTGACTGGGAGGCTCTTCTACAAGAGGTCTCAGCCAGCTTGTCCCTTGGATATTTAAGGCCAGAAACTTCACCAACTGGAATGGGTGTCTGAGAGTTGAGCTACCTGAATGTCTACCTTAGGTAGTTCTTCCCCATTTAGCATTACTTTGGATTGAAAAGATTATTAAAATGCCTTGAAATAAATGCTCTCCTTTCCAGATTTTTCCATTCCCTGTACAAATTGATCAGTTTCTCTTGAACAGGAAAACCTGTGACGAAGTGCCCTTCGCCACTTGGGCTGGGAGAGGACTCCTTGCCAGCCTCCTGCCCTGTGACTATGGCCCTGCAGTGTATGGCCCTTTAAAAGCAAGAAAAAAAAAAGTCTGTGGGCACATTGTGACTTGTGAACAGTGCCCCTTTAAGACTGTCCCCAGACCCTTAAACTTTATTCATGGCTTCTTCCCACTTGGTTTGGTAAATGGGGCTTACTGAACCAAGTATTACACAGGCAGACCACACAGAAGTGGAAGTGTGCGGATAGTTTACCTCCCAGGCAGAGGGGTTGCTGTAGGTTAACTGCCGACTGCTGGGTGGCCTCAGTTCGTATAGACCAACACATGACGGTGGCCATCTTTATTCAGTCGAACGAGGTCAGCAGTGTGTGCAGCCAAATCCATGGAACTGAAATCGGCTACACATTTGCACGAACACCACTGACCCTAACCTTCTCCACAGAGACGCTTTGGCTGAAAACAAAGTCCTGTTCAGCTATACTTTGCCATTTGCACGAATGGTGCCCTGTTTTATCAGGTGAAACCGGATTAGACATTGTGAAAAAGAACAAATCTATGTTAAAATCCAAATTTGAGAATTAAATTAATTTTTAAAGTAGAGAAATCTATTTTAACCTCAAAAAACCTCAGAGCCATGGGAGGGCTGGTGACACAGCAGACCCAATCTGAACAGCTGACAGGAGGGTCTAGCACAGCTTAAGTAGTGCTAGAAGTTCAAATTTAGTGCCAAAACAACCAAGTTCCAACCTGCACAGTAGCACAAATCAGAAATTCAGTGGAACGCAAGGCCTCACGGTGTGCATTCCACCACTGTGTGCAGGGAACCAGCATGCAATGTGATGGGCACACCACCTTGACTGCAAAACCGGAACTGCCTAAAGGCGCTTACATTATTCACTATGCCGGCCAGTAGGTGGCGCTGTGTATGGAGAGAGGCAGGGATAGGAAGCTGCATCTTATCCCTGCTTCTCTGACTGAATCAACAGGGGCAGGCTATAGATCAGGTAAGTGAGGGATGGGGAGACAGCCTACAGGTAGGGGCAGAAAGGAGAAGGGTCTGCAAAGAGCACAAAGGTAAAGGAGAAGGAGCAGAAAGGGATAAAAAAAAGCAGAAAGTTGCAAAATTAGCAGAAAGAGCCAAGGAGGAAAGAAGACAGTGTCAGGAGAAAAAGACGACTGTCAGTCAAATGAAGGAGAAAAGGAGATTGAAGCGAACCCTCTACTTCATTCTGGACACCACATCATAAGGCTTTGGTACCTGGGCCTGGCAGGGAAACTTTGGACCTTCTCATCTCCAGATGTAAAAAAATATAAATATCCGTGTTCACTTTTATTTACTGAGTGTCAGGAAGCAGAGTTCCACTGGGTAGAGGTGTTGCGGATTGGCTTAGAGTGCCAGCGGACTGCTCTAGCCAATCAGTAGCTCCCCATTCATAAAAGTAAAACATTTGTATGAACTCTAGCCAATCTGCAGCACCCATGCCTAAGGTAAATCTGCACTCTGGACACTCTGGTTTCAGAAGCCGAATACCACTGAGCGACCTGGAGGAAGCCTTTGGGGTAAAACCATTTGATAGAGGTTTAACACCTTTAAAGAAAGAATGCCCTGGATCCTCCTGGCATCATAGCAATTTCATTTAGATTAAGTTGTTATGGGGACCAGAATGTTCCTTTAATTTGCCTAAAGGAACACTATAGTGTCAGGAATACAAACATTTATTTCTGACACCATAGTTGTGAAAACGCTATGCACCCTGGCTTTATGTGACAGTGACTATGCCCTTTCATAGAAACATAGAATGTGACGGCAAATAACCATTTGGCCCATCTAGTCTGCCCAATTTTCTAAATACTTTCAATAGTCCCTAGCCTTATGCCTATCCCATGCATGCTTAAAATCCTTTACTGTGTTAACCTCTACCACTTCAGCTGGAAGGCTATTCCATGCATCCACTACCCTCTAAGTAAAGTTATATTATTTTTAAACCTTTGTCCCTCTAATTTAAGACTATGTCCTCTTGTTGTGGTAGTTTCTCTTTTAAATATAGTCTCCTTTACTGTGTTGATTCCCTTTATGTATTTAAATGTTTCTATCATATCCCCCCCGTCTCCTCCAAGCTATACATGTTAAGATCCTTTAACCTTTCCTGGTAAGTTTTATCCTGCAGTCCATGAACCAGTTTAGTAGCCCTTCTCTGAACCCTCTCTAAGGTATCAATATCCTTCTGAAGATATGGTCTCCAGTACAATACTCCAAGTGAGGTCTCACCTGTGTTCTGTACAATGGCATGAGCACTTCCCTCTTTCTACTGCCAAGAACTCTCCCTATACAACAAAGCATTCTGCTAGCATTTCCTGCTGCTCTATTACATTGTCTGCCTATCTTTCATGACACTGAAAAAGGGACCAAGCATGGATGTCATTACAATTATGCCCCCCGGAAAAATTCCTGCGGACGCCCATGCTTGGGCCTCCTAAATTCTCTGCCACTTAGGAGTTAACACTTTATACAGCCCAAGGCACACCTCCCACATGTGACCTAAATACTTTATCAAGTACTCTAATGTTTACACTTCCTTTAATGCAAACTTTAGAATATTAAAGTTGTTTTGGCGACTAGTGTCCCTTTAACTGACCCATAAGGGTCACTCAGGAAAGTCATTATAAGTAATGTGATGGTTTGTAACAGAGGGCAAGACTTCTAGTCAATGGATGTCACCTGTACAAAATAAGTCTTACCACTTTAACAAGGCTCAATTTTTACACAAATGCGCCATCATAGTGACATTTTATCAGACTAATCAAAATGCTCCCCACAGAGTACCCTGCAGTGGCAAGTAACTTGAGTCTTTATAGTAGCATAGCAATAGAAAGGACTGTGCACCAGATTACAGAAGATGGATTACATTTCAGCTCATATCAAGCTTGATAAAGGCACTTCTGCGGGCCAAATTATGAGGTCATCTCCAATAAGTCTGACTTTACTACATTCCTGACTCTGTACAGTCCTTTATGGAAGTATACCTTGGGCATGTTGCACTCAGGAAGTCCTCACAGTGAGTGCCTTTATGTACATGTCAAGTAGCACAGGCCTAAAGTGTTGAGCCCCTAGTATAAGTCTATATAGAGCCTTGGCTGAATCCACCTCCATTATTAAACACCCTCGGAGATTAGTTTTTACTTTAACCAGAGACATTTCACATATGAAGGGGCAAAAATAAATAAATAAAATAAATAAAAAAAAACCCAAACAAAACAAAACCCTAGCTTATTTTCAGTGGATGCTCTTAATACAAGCCCTACCCTGAAAATAAGCCCTAGCTGTTTGCTAATCTATGTTTTGGGAATTTTGCCGAAAGAGGTGTGGAATTCCATTTGCAAATAATCTTATCTATGCTCAGGGAAGTTGCCCCGAACATAGATACCCAAGATTCCATTCGCAAGTGAACTAGTCTGTTAAGGAAAGTTCCCCATAACAGATTTGCAGGATTCTGTGCCTTAGTGAATTGATCTAGGTTCAGGGAATTCCCCCTAACCTAGACCTGCATTCTAGCACATGTTTTTCCCTGAAATAAGACCTCCCTTGAAAAGTCCTACTGGATGTATAATTATATATCTATATCCATCTCCAGTCTTGTTTATAGTGAGACACTGTATATAGTCAGCAGTGTATACCATTCATTTTAAATACACATTACATGCAACTATCAAAATATATTCAGTTTGCTGTCAAAAGGGTCCAAATACCTTCTTTTGTTTAAATCGACCCCATCGGCGGCCCAGAATCCAGGCTAGAAGAGATCTGCTCATTGAGAAGAAGTTTTCAACATTCCGGATACCTAAACAAGAAATTTAAAATTTTGACAAAAGTAAACTTAACTCAACTTTTAGGAAATTCTGCAGATTATATTTTGAGGTGATGCAACTTACATGGTCACACAGCTAGCTAATGGATATCAAGCCAATTTAAACATGCATGGCAAAAAAGAAAATAAAAAAAAATAAACGACAACGAACTGTAACCCAACCTTATAGGATTTTAGTTACACAGTATCACAGCCTCACCCCTGGTGCAATTGCAGCATGTGAAATATATGCATCTGCACTATTGTTTCTTACCCACATGCTCTTCCCCATTGGCTAGAATTCCATTCAAGTAGTCCAGAGTGATTGGATGAAGAGAGGCAATGTATTGTATATCACAGTTTGCAGCACCCCAGTTTGACACCTTTCTTTTGTCATAACTCTTCCACCATAGGTAAAGTTTCTGTAGTTGCTTGGCAACAGGTCTTGAAAGGCCAAACAGCCAATAGGAAAATAGCCACTGGTACCGACAAACCATGTATTGTTTGAAGAGCCCCTCCAACTCTTCGTGACCTAAAAAAAAAAAATATATATTTTTTTTTTTAAACTCAGGCGTGTATGTTAATTCAAGAAAAAAAATAAATAAAAACCACATACATACACACACCTCAACATTTAACTAGACTGCACAAGCAATCTGATATCTTGTCCAAGCCATTAGGTCCTGATGGAGTGGACATCTAGAACTTGACATTACCTCAAGCAAGAGCTAGTGAAGGACCAATTAAAAAAAAATAAATAAAAAAAAATAATTTAAGGGACAGTTTCCCTGGCTTATACACACATAAAAGCCATGTTTAATATCACACTGGTGCAGTACTAGCACAAGAGTGCAAATGATGAAGGGACACTATAGTCACCAGAACAACTACAGCTCAATGTGGTTGTTCTGGTGAGTGTAATAGCTCCCTTCAGGCACTGGAGGGACTTCCTGGCTCAGGGCTGCACAGTAAGCAGCCCTGCCGTTTAGCATCCCCACGCTCTGCATTGAGATGCTAGATTTTCCTCAGATGCATTGATTCAATGCATCTCTATGAGGAGGTACTGATTGGCCAAAACTGCATTTGGCCCCGTGCCAGTTTTAGCCAACCCAATGGCTTTTCTATGGGAAAGCATTGGATTGGCTAAAAAGCGGCCATTTGATGTCACAAAGGGGGTGGCGCCATTGTTGGCAGCCCCGTGCTGGAAATAAGGAGAGTTTTACAGTTTTATAAGGGGCAAACCACCTAAATGGTGGGTTAAACACTATAGGGTGAGGAATACATGTTAAGTGACACCCAAGTTTTCCAGATAAAAAAAAGCCACAACCAAGTGTTAGAGGCATGCAGAGGCAGCTCTACACTTTTAAGCCTTGGGCGAACTTCAAGCCCCACTAACAACCAAAGTATAAAAATAAATAAATTTGCAATTATGCCATTTATACACAATTGTGGGGTATGGTTGCATAGCCCAGTAGTGTATAAATAAGTACTGGTGTGAAGGGGTTCTCGAAAACAAATGAAAATGTAAGTGTGGCATCAGTTTTGGGGTGAATGTGGCATGGTTGGAGGAAGGAGTGTGGCAGGATTAAGGGGATTAATGTGAGAAGGTGAGTGTGGCAAAGTGAAGGCAGGTGAGTTTGGGAGTGTTTAATGAGAGTGTGGATATGTGAAAGGGCTGAAAGTATGGAGACGGGTGATAGTGTGTGAATATGGTGACACTACATAGTAGGGGTGATCCAGTGTGAGGTAAGGCAGTACTGTGATGGGAATACTGGGAGGGAGGTGGGTGATCATGTGAGTGAGGGGGTATACTGGGAGAGAGGAGGTATATTTTTCTAGAGTGTTATATTGATGGGGTTACTGCAAAGAAGGGGGTATATTGGGAGGGAGGTGTATACTGGGAGGGAGTGGGTGATAGTGAGGGGGTTACTGGGAGGGAGGCGGACTAAATACCTTCATTCCCTGGTGGTCCGGTGGTGAGACCCGTCAGAGCATTCTGTGTTAACCCGCAGCAACACTCCAATTGGCCAGATCTTGCGAGACATTTGGTCTGCAGCTCTGCACACTGCAGGGAGCTGCAGACCAACGGCTACAGGTGCTCTAGCCCCTGGAGGGACCTCGCACCCGGCGGCATATCGGGCAAGCTGCCGGGCCCCCTCCTGGTGTCAGGTCCTAGGTCACTGACCGAGGAACTGACAGTTCGCCATAAGGCGGTTTAGGCAGCCACGAGGCCCCAGCCAGCGCCAGGCCTTAGGCAGCCACCTAAACAGAGCCGCTTCTGGAGGCATGGACAAGTGGGGTCTGTGAGTGTTATTGGAAAGGTCCCCAAGTTCACGTGCATGGTTGTGTCTGGGCAGTGTGACATCCTCCTTTGCCCCCTCAGATAATTCCAACGACAGTGTGATCTTTGAATTATAGCACTCCAAAGTGGGGGCAGCTTTGGAAGACCATAATCTTAGGTTTTTTTTATGGTCTTCTGATGGCCACTTGAGATTCTTCATGGGTCAGTGCTGCACAATGTGCAGCACTGACAGTCCAGACTCTGCATTGAGATTCTGTACTCTTCCCATAGATATGCATGGATTCAGTGAGGAGATGCTGAATGGCGCAGCATGGCATTTTGCCATGTATGGGTGATAGACTCCCAATACTTTATGGAAAAGCATTGAATTGGCTGTAATTTTACTTTTTTTTATCTCAATCAAGGGAGCAGAGCCACACAGCACTGCAAATAAGATTGTTAGTCTTTAAAAGAGTGAGGTAAAGGGCCATGACATCTAAACTGTCATTTCAACACTATAGTGTCAGGAATGCAAACATGTATTCCTGACACTATAGTGTTCCATTAATGTCATATTTAAAACATTAAACTAAGCTGCATTTTAATATTTTGCTTTTCAGTAAGGGGGTTGCCATATTTCACCAAGTTTATTGGGATGTTTTAGCATACAACGGTAATTCCAACAGTAACAGCAAATAAAGTGAGGGTTCGAGACCCACCACACTGACTACTTACATTCACCACTCACATGCTGAAGTACAAGTTCTTGCATATTTATTAACGAGCCATGATAACCCAGGGCCAGTTTGTTGAGCTCCTTCCATTCATATTTGTAAACCAATTTTTCTGTCTCTTCCAGGGATTCATCTGTAACTGGAGAATACACCAACAGAAGTTAACAGTTAAAAAAAAAATAAAAACCCTGTTCAGAGAGCATTTTTATAATATTTTATTCTAGACACGACAAAGACAAACTGTCTCTTTAAATCTAAATATAACCTTCACCTTGGTTCAGAAAATCCTCAGAAGGAATCTGGGGCTCTGACTTTGGTCAAACATCTAATAGATTGACAAAGAACCAGGGCTTGTGTCTGCACCTTTAATAAATTTAATGCAGTCTTCTGATTACATGTAGAACCAGAAGAAACATTGACTTTTCAATGCAACTAACCTTTATGTTTTTCATCCAGAAGATCTTTACCAATTCCCCAAATGTCTTCTATTTCATGATCAGCAAGTTGGATGGGAGGAAGAGGAATAACTTCCTCTAAAGTGAGCCAACGCAGCCAATATTCTTTAGGAGTTGTACCAGAAAATAATAAATCCTGCAGATACTTATTGTAGGGCAGGCTCCGATATACCTTCCTCCATATAAACAGAAGCTTAAAAGCCTCCTTTGGCGAGTAGCATGTGTCACTACTTCTGAAGCCTGAGCCAAAGACAACCTGTCAGAAGAAGAAAAAAAAAAAAAAAAAATTTTCACCAAGAGTAACAAAGAACAAGCTTTTTATGAAAGCTGACCATCAGTCTTAAAGCTTTAAGAAATTCTAATTTCTCATGGTTTTCCATGCCTCAGTACAGCCATCAGTCTCACTGGGAGAGCCACATTGAGATTAGATTATCAGATAATTAGCTCCCAACAAGATAAGATGACTCAACTACTACACAAATGATCCTCTAAAAATCAAGTAACGCAGAGCTCAAATGCCACTAGACAGGCCTAAAAACGTACTCACCACTGAGAAACACAAGGTCACTACAATACATTACCAAACAATGTGAATGTTACTTTTCAAGGTTTGGCTTTAAAATGCTAGCCTAAGTTTAGAATCTAGGCTATTAGCTTGGATATTCTTTTGCCATGCCAAGCCCACAACCAAAACACAAGACACTTCACAACAAAGTGCACCCACTGGCTACTTGAATATACTGCAACTTTGAACACCTAAATGTGCAGACTAATGTCAAGGTACTCTAAGATGTTAGCCCTTCACGCAAGATACTTTTTACCCTAACCACTTCTATTTTAAACCTGCACACACAGTCACTATACTCAGATTACATGAAAACATTTAAAGCAGAAATGGGATCATATAAGAAATGTAAAATATGACTTATGCATGCAATGGCCAGTTAATCACACCGTTTCTCTTTACTTTTTATAGTGGGAGCACCTTAGAATTCTGAGTCTACAGACACCTGACCTAGAAATGTGGGCAGGTTATCTGCACGTGATTTAAGTTGTATGTGTATCCTGTACACATTGTTTAATATGCATGGATTGGTGCTGCATATCTGATCTAAATTGTGCAAAGGAATGACATTCCCATCATTATGCATACTGAACCTCTAGCTGCTTAAGCACTTCATTGAAAGCCTTTATGCAAGTATAGTTAGTTAATCTTAATAAAAGCTCTTACAAAGATAAATAAAATCTGTTTTCCTGCAAAATGAGTGAACAACATTTTGCAAAGGGCACTTTACATTGAGTGTAAATGGGGAACAAATGATAGTGTGACTGTGGGTGGTCTAGTGAGGCACAGTGTATAATGAAATTCACTTGACACATTTAATTACCAAGCATCACAATAATATCTCCAAGTCATTACAAAAAAAAAAAAGCCACTAAAGATAACAAATTATGAAATGTACATGAGAAGTGAGGAAGGTGTTAAAGATTAGACTAGTGAAAGATGTAGATAGAGAGTGCAGTTTGGGACCAATACGTTTCAGAAGTTTCACTAGAAAGCCTCTTCACCTAGCAAGAGCCACAGACAAGCTAACCGTTAGTAACTATATAGAGACATTGTTATGGATTTCTTAATGTAACTGTCCAGCACAGTTAATGTTTCATGACATTTTGAACGAATTTTAATAATTCCTAGAAAAGTTTCAAACAGTTAGCTAGATATTCTATACATGGGAAAGTGAGCCACCAATCAGAACAAACTAACGACCATTAAAGTTTCAATATAAAGAACTACACTGAGAACTTCAGTTTGTAAATATATATGTTCTTCCTGGTGGGGATTCTATTGTTGCTGAAATCCCTCCAGTTAGAAGACCTGTAGATCTGTCAAAAAGAAGCCAAGTCTTTACTCAGACCTGTGCGCAGATTGGATGCTTGTATATATTTCAGCCAATAAGAATACGGCTGTCCAAGACAAAAAAGATTAAATAAATGTTACTGCCCAAAAACCCCTCTAAGCTTTTTTTTTGCAACTCAAATCCAGCTTGCTATTGACCTTATTCCACTTACATAAGTTACAAGTTGACAGAGCGGTAGGTTCCCAACCAATCAAACCATATAGTCAATCATGAAAGCAGAGAGCATTACCTGAACACCCTCCCCCCCCAGTCAGAAACAATACATTTGTTTTTATGAAGGGGTTACTGGGTATGAGCTGGGTGGTAGAGTTAGATCATGCCATGACAGTAATCGTAGCAAGGGTTATAGGTGGCTGCTAAGAGTCAGCTATAGATGATCCCAGTGGACCCCAGGTAATCCCAGACACTCACTGTGCAATGCTTGGCCCATAGACTGTCAGTGCTGCAGATCCTGTGCATGGTGTAACAGGTGGCTCCGGTTCTGAGCAGGGAATATGGATCCAGGTAACCCACTATTAGCAGCAGGACCTCATCGCTGAAGTCCATGATCTCCCGGGATCTCTCACATACTCTCCAGTAGCCCTGGGTCCGCGGAGCCGGTACCTCCACTGACCTCCTAATGTCACAGTCCGCGCACAACTCCATCCTCACCAACCGCCTCGTCTCCTTCTCTGCCTGCGCTCCCCTCTCATCGGCTAATAAAGGATTGGGCCATACCAACACCAGCCGGCAGGGGGAGGGACTTGGTGGTTAAATGCCATGAGATCTCTCTGATTGGTCGGTATTCTACATGGTGATGATATTGATAGTTCAGTGCAGGTCAGTGAGGGGAATCTGGTAAAGAACACATGACTATTACCCTTTCTTCAGTTACAAGTAGTCAGTCATTGTATTAGGGGTGAGTTCATGTGAGAACCTGCCCCATCATTATCACTGGATTGAAGATATGAGGTTTGACACTGAAACCCTGAATTAGGTAGCATTTAACAATAGCAAACTGGAAACATTTATAATTTTCTATTTTCAAACTCAGCTATTATGCCTAAGATTTGTGCTCAGAAGATGCAGTCTGAGCACAGTCCAGTAGCACTCAAACAAGGTTATTCCCTCATAGTTAATATTCACATTAAAGGAACCCTACAGTATTAGGAATACAAAGCTGTATTCCTAACACTCCCTCGCCACACCCTTCCACCAGCGATGTAAAGGGTTAAAAAACTATTTTGTGACAAACCTGGTTGCAGTGCTGATGTCTCTCAGCACTAGTTTGGGCTCCCGCAATGACGTGGGGAACGCAGAGTGCATGCGAGTCCGTGTGTGGATAAGCCTTCCCCATTGAAAAAAAAATATTGACTTAATGTCCAAATTTGTTAAACGGAGTTAAACTCTTTGAAAGGGCAGGAAGAGCCTGTAGTGGCAACTACTGCAGTCTTAACACGGCTATGTAAACATTGTTAAGAGTGTTAAGAGAACAGGGACACTGCACCCAGATCACTTCAATGAGATGAAGTGGTCTGGGTGCCTATAATGCCCCTTTAACTCGGTCTTAGAGGGTTATTCACTAAAGTGAGAATTGCCAGGATTTCAGAGTGAATTCAATGTGAATTTAAAACTTAAGTCCAAAATAGCCAAATTGGAAAAAATTTCCCAAATCAGTAATTCTTTCAGTTTGGCTACTTTGGCCTTAAATTTGAATTTCACTTTGGATTACCAACAGTTTTCAATTTAGTGAATAATTCTGAAGGTTATTTACGAAAAACTGAATTGTTTGGAAGTCAACGTGAATTCAAATTTAAATACAAAGTAATCTAACTGGAAACGTTTTCAAAGTCAGCCATGCTTCCAGTTGGGCTATTTTGGTGTAAAATGTGAAATTCTGTTTGAATTTACTTTGTTACCGTCAATTTTCACTTCAGTGACCCTGATATTGTAAACATATAGAAATGACAATTTCCCAACGATAAGACTATGTAATATAGTATAACAAATTATTTAGCTGTGAGGGAGCAGTCCACAAACTTCACTACAATAGTGGACTGGGGGCAAAAGCTGGTAGTCTAACAATAAAGAAGCAAAACTTGTTTTAACCACCTCAGGGTTTTTCACTAAGGTGAGAACTCAAAGGAAATACAAAGTGAATTCTAAATTCAAGATAAAAACAGCCGAACTGGAAAATGCCTGTAAGCTAACTGTGCTTTGATTTCAGCTACTCTGGCCTGAAATTTTATATTTAATTTAAATTTTCATTTTGATATATAACCCTGAAAAAGTGATCCAAAAACCTCAATGAGACTTTTTACTAAATTTGATTCCTGGAATATCTCATAGTTGGATATTATTTTCCAATTTAACTAGTTTACCTTACATTGAAAATCCCTGTGCTAATTTCCCATAATTCCCGGTTTAGTCATTAATCCAACATGATGATTGCTGATGCAGAACAAATCCTTCCCTGCAATAGATGTTGCAGGTACATTTTGCTACATTTTATTCTAGTTTGGCTTCCTACTGTTTAGGACACACATATAAAATTCACTAATGTGAGAATTGCTGAATTTCAAAATTTAGGTAAAAATAGCTCCAAAATTATCCAATTAGTTTTCATTTCAGTTTGGCTCGTTTGGTCTTTAATATGGAGCTCCCAGCAATTTTCACTCTAGTGAATAACTCTCTTATACTCCTGACAGAACAAGTCTAATTTCACACAGGATATATGATAGCATGACTGATTCTCTATTTTAATACAAATATTCAGATGACATGAGACAAAGATGAAGTTCACAATTTTAACCAAATGCCCAACACCTATAAATTAATTGCGTTCTCTTGGGGATGGGTGTTGATGCAGTAACTAGATTGTTTGAATGAACAACAGATAGTTTGTCCTGAACAATAGTTTGTCAATCTCAAACATCTTCAGTAAACTATAATTGCAGAATAAAACTGATTACTGAGAGAAACTAATGACAAGGCACATAAAACTAACCAGGTAATTTTTTCATAGGGCAATCCTCAACATTGTGCGTTTAATGGGATTACCAAGGGAATAATTGGCCATAGAGGTAAACGAGTTATTCCTATGTTACAGGATTATGCAACACATAGTGCAAGAGCTAGATTAATATATATATATTTTTGCACCCCTCCCTGTCACATGTGCCTCATCCCAGGGCTCTATTTAGCCTTGTACTGCAAAGAGCCCCAGATGGAATTTCCCCCCCAAGTAAGTGGGTTAATCTCATAAGAGCAGACATTAGACTGTTAGAGTAGGACCTGCCAAATATGGGGTACATTGACGTTGTGGCAGGCTTGTGCAATGTATGATCATATAATGTAACTAAACCCCCATTATTTTTGCCTAGATTAGGTGCTTTTTAAATATAACCTAATAAAATCTGTCAACTTTGAAGTTGCTGTTTAGTGGATAGGTGAGTGCACTGAATCTTGTGTGTTGTGTGTGTGTGTGTATACAGGGACAGATTAAGAGCCCATGGTGCTGACAATTATGATGGGCCTAATTACAGAATCATATCGACCGAAAACAAAAAAACAGTCATACCTCCCAAGTGTCATGTATCGATGGAGATGGTGCTGGAGGGAAACTCAAAGGATGCAGCTATAAGAAAACACATACCCCATGCTAATTTCTCTCTAATTTATGCTTTCATCTTTCAAGTAAATTTATACCCCTAACAGCAGTGCCCAGTGAAGCAGGACATCAATGGGCAGGGTAAAAGGGTGTGCCCCTATTGCAAATCATGTAACCAGAACTGCCGAAAGTGGCGAATATGCCCAAAAAGAGGGTGTCACGACAGTGACCAAAGTCACAACAGTGACCCCTTCACACAGCGTGAAACCCACAGAAAGACGGTTACCGGACCTTAGAATGGCCGGACTAGCGTCTGAGAATAGTCAAAGAAATAGCCAGAGGTCAAGGGAATACGGAAGACGGGCACACGATTATCCAAGCCAAGATACGGGAAACCAGAATACAGAATAGTCAGAGAGATAGCCAAGGGTCAAATACCAGGAAGGACAAATAGATAAGATAGCACCATGGGACTTAAACAAGAACCACACTAGGGCATCTGACAAGTGCCCTTTTATAGTGTGGGTTCTTTGGCTTTAATTTCGTAGCCACGCCCCCAAAAAGTCCGGGAGCGTGGCAACGTTTGAATTTTGGGGCCATTTTTACTCTGACGTCGGCGCGCATGCGCCGCGTCATAAATGTGGGCGTGTTCCGAGCGGCTGGCGTCAGAATAGCTGAGCCGCCCCCCGGAAGTATCGGAGGAGGACCCGGCGCCGCGCGGGACCGGCGGGGAAAGGTAAGCGTTCGTTACAGAGGGCATGTCTGTCCAAATAATTGAAAGGCAAGCCTGGCATGACTGCATGTCAGGCTGCCTGCCAATCACGCAGGCTGGCAAACTAAGGGCATACTATGCAGACAGCACCCTGAGCTTGACATAAATACTTCAAATGATGCACCTACTCCACACTTTCTAAGGACTGTCCTCTAGCACTCACATGTCGACTTGTCTCCTTACCTTCTTACTAGCAGGCAGAAGCTCCTGGTACATAGTCTGGGACAGAGAAAAGGTGAATGTAGTGAGTGTAGAAGACAGGGGACATGCCACAGTGTTAGTGAGGCCAAAGTCAGCATTAGCTTAACTAACTACCTCATTGTCAGCCAGTCCACACAGGTTTTGTTCCCATACATCCCTCTTAAGCTTCCATACTTAAGCAAAAGTATGTGAAGAGTGGTTAGGGTTGCCACCTTTCTTGGAAAAAAAAACTGGTCTTAATTATTTGCATAATTAATTATGTATGAGTGACATCACATGATGTAAATCACAAGGAGTGACATGAGAGAAAATTCAGTAAAATCACCAAAAAACTACTTACAGTTGGATTCTGCTGTATAGATGGATTGCTCCCATTGTCTCAGTGTCCCTGTGTAACACAGTGTCTCAGTGTCCCCATGTCACCCAGTCCCCTGGTCTCCCAGTGTCTCAGTGCCCCCATTTCTCCTAGTGTCCACTAGTTTCTGTGTCCCCAGGTCTCCCAGTGTTCCCTAGTGTCTCGGTGTCCCCATGTCTCCCAGTGTCCCCTAGTGTCTCAGTGTCCCCATTTCTCCCAGTGTCCACTAGTGTCTGTGTCCCCAGGTCTCCCAGTGTTCCTATGTATCAGTGTCCCTATGTATCACAGTGTATCAGTGTCCCATCATGTCTCCATGTCTCCCAGTGTCCCCTAGTGTCTGTGTCCCCATGTCTCCCAGTGTCCCAATGTCACTAGGATTCTAGGGGACACTGAGAGACATGGGGACACTGGGAGACATGGGGACAGTGAGACACAAGGGGACCCATGGCAACATGGGGGCCCTGGAAGACACGGGGACACAGACACTTGGAGACATGAGGACACTAAGACACTTGGGACAGAGAGACACTAGGGGACACTGCGAGACTTGGGGACACTGAGACACTTGGGGACACTGGGAGATATAGGGCACTTGTGGATACAGACATGGGGACACTGTGTCTCAGTGTCCCCATGTCTCCCAGTGTCTCCAAGGGTCCCCAGGTCTCCCAGTGTCCCCTAGTGTGTCAGTGTCCCCATGTCTTACAGTGTCCCCAAGTCTCAGTGTC